CATCCTTGGCCTGCCATTGAAAGCCAGCTGTTCTTACTCCTGCACTATCCCCCTGGGCTGGGATGGCAGCAATTGGGAGTCCAGTGCAGTTCAACAGGTGGAGCACCAGGTAAGAGGGATGAGCTGAGGCTCCCACCCAGGTCTCTGCAAAAACAATATATAGATGAAGAAATTCAGATTATGGGTTGGCCTGTTCCCATCCCATAAACTAGGATGGCACATCACACACACATTCACTCTATATACACAACTATCCCTGGGCACTATTCCTCCTCTCCCCATCTCCTGTAACCAGGGCAGATGGCATCTCCAGGATATGGGAGGAGGGACATCAAGTTCACCTGAATTTTTTTCTTAATAGGAGAAAAGGGAGTTTTATGGGGCAGGGATAAGTCACAGGCTCCTAAGGTGACTTTTCAAAGCTGTGGATTTCATGGTCCCTTCTAGCCCAGGTCCATGCAGAGCACCTGAGGAGGCTCCATGTGGACAGGATTAGAGACCAGGCTTTGGCCAGAGGACCATGGGCTTTGTCCTGTGGCCTGGAGAAGGGGCAACGAGGCCAGCCTAGGGACTCAGGTTCCCTGTAGCCTGTGGGCTCCAGTGTGGCTACAGAGGGCCTTACCCTTGACTCTGAGGTGCAGCCACATGGCTGTGATGGGGGCAGAGGAGGCCCTTTTGCAAAGGCCCAGGGTGACAGCAGTGGACCCCCAGAATGATGCACAGCCTGTCCCTGAAGACGCAGCCACACTTTCCCCATGCTTACCACCAGAGGGCGCTGTCCTGCCTGCTCCCTGAGTAGACATCTAAATCCCCACCTACCCTCGCCTGCAGTCCTGAAACTTCAAATCCTCAAAATAGGGACCTGAAGAGGACATCAAACTCCTGGGGGAAGGCTGAGAGCAAATAAAGGAACGGGCCCTTCCTGACCCCAAGGGAGTCTTCATGCTCAGAGCCCTTCCACAGAGCCCACCAGAAGTTTACAGACTTTAGGGGATCGAGCGGAGCTGTGTGCTAGGGATAGTCCTCCCAGATCCCCAGGGGAAGGTGCTGGCATGGCATCACCGAGGGGGACACTCCCAGAAGTGTAGGATGATCCAAGTAGGGACAGCAGCAGGAGCCTGAAGTGGAGGAGGGACCCAGCTCCTCCCAGGCCCCCAGCACATGACGACTGTGTGTGAGCAGGGTGGAAAGACTGTGGGGACCTCCTGATCTGATCCTGCTCTGAATGTCTCCATTGTGACAGAAGCATGAGGGCCTAGGTGAAGGCAACCAATTGACACCTCAGATCTGGGTGCTACACTGGGGCATAGATGTAAGGACCCTGGTGAGGATACTCAACTGTGACCTGACTTCTGGGTGCCTATGAAGGATAAATAGGTGAAAGCCCTGATGAGGGCAGTTGACGGTCATCTCAGCTCTAGGAGCCTGCAATGGGGAAGAGGCATGAGGTCCCAAGTAAAGACATTCAGCTGTTACCTGCAGTCTGGGTACCTACAATGAGACACAAGCATGAGGAATCAAGGGAAGACAGTCAACTTATCACCTCATCTCTGGGTGAATTCATTCTGACACAGACCTTAGGGCCTCACTGAATTGAGTCAAATGTCACCTCAGCTCTGGGGTCTTACAATGTGGAACAGAGATGACAGACCTGGTAATGAGAGATAGTTGTCACTCATATCTGTGTGCTTACACTGGGGCAGATACAACAGGTCTCAGGTGAGGAAAGATACCTGTCACCTCAGCTCTGGGTAGTGACTTTGGTGCTGAGATATAAGGGCTTTCAACTGGCACTGAATTCCTACACTGGGACAAAGCAGTAGGGCCATGTGAGGACAGCCAACAGTTCCTTCAGCTCTGGTGCCTACACTGGGGCAGAGGCATAACACTGGGTCCAGGTTTTGACATTGAACTAATATTTAACTTCTGGATGCCTAAACTAGGGTGAGGCTTATGGGCTCATGAGTGAAGAGTCACCTTTCACATCAGCTCTTTTTTTTAATTGACTTGAGAGAAACATCAATTTGTTGTTCCACCCATTTATGCATTCATTGGTTGCTTCTTGTATGTGGCCTGATGGGAGATTAAACCTGCAACCTTGACGCATCGGGACAATGCCAATTTAGCTACCCAGCCAGGGCTCACATCAGCTCTTGATGCCTAGCCTCTGGTAGAGGCATGAGGGACAGATGAGGGTATTCAACTATTACCTCAGATCTGGGTCCCTACTCTGAGGCCGAGCATGAGGATCCAAGACACAACAACACACAAGTAACACTTCAGTGATGGGAGCTACACTGGGGAAGACATAAGAGCACTCAAATGTCACCTCAGCTCTGTGTAGCTACACAAGTCAGAGACATTAGAGCCCAGGTGATAGCATCAACAGAAAGCCCAGATATTGATATTTACACCAAAAAGGAGAATGAGGGACTAGGTAGAGACATAAGGGCCCAACTGCAGACCATCAACTATCACTTCACACTGTGTGCCTGCACATGAGGGTCCAGGTGAAGAGAGTCAACTGAAAGCACAAATCTTGGTGCCTACATTGGAAAGGGGAATGAGGGACCACTGAAGTGATTCAACTGTCACTTCAGCTTTGGGTCATTAAACATAGGCAGAGACATGAAGGACTAGATGAGGACAGTCACCTGTCACTTCAGCTCTGGGTGCCTACTCTGGGATAGAGGCAGGAGGTACCTGCACTGGGGCAGAAGCACACAGGGCCACATGATTATCATCAACTGACAACTCAGTGGTCGGTGTCCACACTGAGAGAAGGGAAAGAGGGACCAGTTGATAGTATCAACTGCCACCTCAAGTCTGGGTGCCTATACTGGGACATGAGGACCCAGGGTAAAACAGTCAGTTGGCACCTTAGCTATGGGAGCTACACTGGGACACAAGCAGGAGGGCCCAGAGGAGACATTCTCTGCCACTTCATCCTGGTTGCTTGTACTGGGGCAGGGACATGAGGGCCTGTAACATGAGGGTCTAATCCTTTCTATGTTCCCATCGAAAAACAGTCCCAGAAGAAATAAGGAACTTGCACAAGGCTGTCTACTTCTTGGGGCACAACAGACCTGGAATTGAATCCAAGGTTTCTGGCCCATCATTCATGTGGTGCACCTAGGGATGGTGGATGTGCCTCTGGACCCTCAACGTTTCCAAAATACTTGCTGTGAGTAAGATGTAAGCACTGTCCTCTAAGAATGACCAGCCTGGCAGATGCCCCAAGCCTGGCTGTCAGCCCAGGAGTGTAAGAGAGAACTTCCTCTAATGGACATCACAACTACAGGCATTGCAGAAAAGACCATTGAGGAGGGCATGGTGCCCAAGGTTCAGCACCCACAAATATATGCAAGTTTGGCAAATGGCCACCATTATCCCTAATCCCAAATTCCATGACAAAATCCAAAATACCCCTGACTGCAGTAGCAGTGTCCTAAAACCGATTACCTTGATCTTGTTAAGGAGAATGAGAGAGTGTTGTGTATGCCAGTGTAGAAGCTACTGGATTCTAACCAGAGGTCTCTCACTGCCTAGCTGTATAAGATTTCTCTGTATTTTGGACTCTTTCCTTAGGAATGTTCCTGTAGTGAGGTCACTGGGTCAAAGGGCATGGATTTTCTATGGTTCCATGCCACCTAGCTGCTGCCCTCCAGAAGGATGTCCTGCTGACAGGGGTGGCCCCAGCTCTCCCAGTGCAGTAGTGATCAAGATGCACTGGGTGATGTCAAGGACACCCTCCTGAAAGCGGCCAGAGGAGCAGTCAGGAGTTTTCCCCTCCCATCAATGGAGCGATATGGAAGACTGTGAATGCGCTTCCACCTAGAAATCAGACTGAGAGGGAAGGCATCGGAAGGCTGAGCCTCCTTGTCTCTGGCTCGTCCCATTCTGGTGTTTTCGCCTGTATACTCTTCTGTACCTCAGTGTTTCTAAAAGGCACATATATCAACTTTGAAAGAATTTCGAATTACGCCCCCAGATCCATTCGCCTCTTCCTAGGCTTCAGAAATCCGACCGCAGGGCACCGGCGTAGCCCCAGCACTCCAAGCCTGGGAAGCTGGAATTTCCCACCAAATGGGAGTCTGATGGAAGACTTTGGGGGCGGAGCATACGCGGGGACAGCGGCGGGGCTGGATAGAGCTCCTGCCGTATGGGGTACCCAGTGGCTCTTCTGGAGAGCGAATCAGAGGCGGGGCCCCTCTCAACCGGTGGCGGGAGCAAATGGCAGAGGCGGGCCTGCGGGCGGGGCTGCGCCGGGCTAGGGGCTGGGCCTCCGCCGCTTTCCACCCCCACCCCCCCACCTGGCGGCCTAGAGGCGAAGCCCTAGCCCAAAGTGGGGGTGGGGCCTGCGGGCTGTGGCTCCGCCCCGG